GTTTATTTCTACACCAAACTCTTTGTGTATACCTTAAGTGAGTGTTCAGTCTTCCTTTGTTCAGCTAAAAGTTCATGATTCCTTTTCTTTTCTACCCCTTCCTACCTATTTCTATACTATTTTTCTTGTGCTTCCCAGTTTATTAATTTTTTTAGGCCTGGTGTTAATTTGTGGTCCACTAACAGATTTCACGGAGTCTATGAACTTGGATGGGGGAAAAATATCCTATTTTTTAATTTATACTAACCTCTAACTGTAAATTTAACACTTTCTTCAATTATGAGTTTTCTAAAAAATTATCAATCAATTAATAATCATTTATTAAGTGCCTATCATGTACCAGGCATTATGCTAAGCACTGAGGAATCCACAGACTTTACCAGATTGCCATGACATAAAAGGTTGAGAACTCCTGCTTTAGACAATCAAAACAGAGCAAAACTAATATGGTATAGTTTTTAAGTAATCCAATACTTTTTAAATTCTTCTTTATTTTTCATAATAATAATGATCGTGATAGCTAACATTTACATAGCACTTACTATGTGCCAGGCACTCTGCTAAGCACTTTACAATCACCTGATTTGATCCTCACAACAATCCTAGGAAGTAGGTTCTATTATTTATCCCCATTTACAGATGAGGAAACTGAGGCAAACAGAGGTTAAAAGACTTGCTCGGGATCACACAGCTAGCAAGATAATTACCTGAGGCTAGCTTTGAAATCAGGTCTTCCTGACTCCAAGTTTAGTGCTTTCTATTCTATCTTTTAAGTTACCTTTTCCAAATCAGCTGTGTTTGATACCAGGTACTTTACATTTTCTTCTATTTCTGCCCCCCCCTTCCATATTTTGATTTTTGTTCTAGTATTTCTTGTTATGTCATGGAGTCAATGAGCTCTGTTTGGTCCATTCTAATTTTCAGGGAGTTGGACACACAGGTAGGGTTTCCCATTGCCTGTTCTAAACTATTGATTCTCTTTCCAAGTCATTCCTCCAGAATTATCTCATTTATAATTTCCTTTATCTCTTGCTTCATTTCTTTTAAGTTCTCTATTAGAGTGCTTGTAGCCAAACCATTCTTCTCTCTGAGGCTCTACTTGGAACTGTGGAGTTACTCTCTTCTACTGGGTTTGCTGCTTGGGCCTCTTTGGAACCATATTATTTCTTCATATTGTTTTCTATCTTCTGTTTACTCCCATCTTCAACCTCAATTCCTGATCTGGGACTTTGTCCCAGGGCTAGGTCCCATCCCGTCTTGCACTCTTAGAAGAGTTTTCAGGCCTTGTTTGTTCTTGATGTTGATTTTCTGGGTTCCTACTGTTTATTTCCACTTGCCCTGATATATCCGGGCTTGAAGTGCTTCCAAATTTCAGGCTTTCATGGGTCATCTGGTTTAGCACAGCGCACTGTAGTATTCAAAGCCCTCTGGGGCATGTCAGATCAGAGTACTGCAAATTTCTGGTGTCCCTGGGGCACCTGGTCTGAGCGCTGGCTCTCTACCCTAGAGTTTCATCAAATGGGAAACAGCATGCTTTAGGCTTCAGTTGCCCCGTATTATTTCTGAGTCTGCAGTGATACACTCTTGGTTAACTGTTAGGATAGCTTTTCTGGAGAGACTCCTTTCCTGGTACCTGCAGATTTGTGCATATCATTTCAAAGCAGTTCAGGGCTGGATGACAGTGCTTAACGTAGGTTCTCCTTGGATTTCTAGGTTACTTTTTGGTTTTTGCCTTTTTTTTTTTTGCAGGAATACGTGTGAGATCTGGGCTTCTCTGTGACTGTGCATCTTAATTAGAATTCAAAAGCTAGGAATTCTAAAAGATGGAAGTGAGGAGGGAAAATAGCCCAGGCAGGAAGAAGTTGTGTATAAGGCACCACAATGGGAGATGGAATGTTAGCACTGGATTATAACTAGTATGCTAGTTTAGTTAGACCATACAGTGTTTGTATAATAATAACTAGCATTTATATAGTGCTTTAAGGTTTGCAAAATGCTTTCCAAGTATTATCTCATTTTATCCTCACAACAACCCTGGAAGGTAGATACTTATTATATATAATAAATTATTATTTATGATATTATTTACAATATTTATAATAAATTAGTATTCTTCTTATTATTGCATATGGAATAATGTGAAACAAGTTTGGATTGGTGCCAGATTTTAGAGTCTTTAAACATGAGACTGAGAAGTTTAAAGGCAATAAGGAGCCATTGAAAGCTTTTGAGGAGGATGGATTTGTTAAAAGGTTATATTGGAAGGAGGGAGACCAATTGGGAAGCTGTTGCAATAGCACTGGTAGGCAAGAGGTGATTTCTTGAGCATTTATGTTTTAAGAAGTATAATGAAAAACCAGAGATGGATATAACCTCTACATTTTGCCTCATATTTAGTATCATTATTAGTATGTAACTTATATTATCATCTAAGAAATACTAAAGATTAATCATTGGTAGAAAATTATTAAACACTGAAAAATTGCAAGGCCTATAGGTGGACTTGCTCCTATAGGTGTTTTCTGATTTTGGAGTTATAGCTATACCATAAGTTACAAGTAGCTTAAAAAAAAAAACTTGATGATAAACTGATGTTTTGGGGTTGAACATCCCATATTTTTCTATTAGCAATTTATTTGTATACATATATGTTTAAAGATATATACATACAGTTTATATACATATATGAATTTTAATCAGTCATCAGAAAAATGTACTGCAGAGCTGCATATTTATCTTGTATCAAAGATTTTTGCACTGTTTTCTGATTTTATAAATAATCTCCTGACAGTTAAGCAAATTTAGTCTTGAATTAGAGAAACAAACCATTTTCCCCCTCCACTGCTAATGGTACTACGCTTAGTAATGCAACTTTAGTAGACAGAATTCATCTGATAGTGCTGTTGACAGGGTGAGGGTAGAATGCAGTTTGATTGCCCAGAGCTGCATTGGGACTGTAACACTTACCACAATAAAAACCTAGGTGCTAAAGAACCTTGGAGTACTTAAAGCCACAGAATGCTAGAACATGAAGGTGCCAGTTATACCCAGATGCTTTTCTGCAAGTCACCACATTTTAATTTTGAGAAAGGAGACTAGAGATCTGTTGAAGAATTCATTCCCCATGGCACCCGTTCAACACCTCAGGCTTCTCTGTTGAAAAGCTCCCTTATATAGCTGTACTGTACTAGTGCAGTTGAAAAGAAAACCCAGGACAAAAAGCAGCAGGGATGATAAAATGCTCTCCCTGTCCCCTTCCCCTCCTCCCCCATTCCCCTGCCCTACCCCCACCCTTCCTTAAAAAAGATGAAATCCCATCAGTCCAGAGGCAAACTATTTTTAGGCTATAGAAAAGTAATGGTGAAAATGTGGGTTTGTCAACAAATCTTTCACTATTATTACTACTCATGATATGCTAAAGATCAATGTTTTCTGTACCAACAACTTTAATCTCAAATTGGAGACCCAATCACAGTGGTGGAAGTCTACTGGAATGAGTTTTGTTGCAAAACTTTTCTCCCATAAAAAACAAACAAAAAAACATAAAAAAGGACAAAAGTACTCCTGAAATTAATTATAGGTTTTCAAGCCCACTAGAAAACTTAGATGTTTTCCAAATTGTGCTAACACAGCATTTAGATCGCCAAGAGAGACACATCTTTATTATTTTAACTTTGTAGCTGCATTATCCGCCCGTAAAGGATTTGCAGATACGAATGGCCCGTGAGATGTATTTTCTGAGCAGGGAGACACAAAGGTATTTGAAGATCTCCTCCCTCCCACCAAGAGCATGGGACAAGTGGAGGACTGAAAAAACACAAGGAAGCCGCGAGGAGGGCGGAATCTAAAAACAATAAGAGGGAGGTTGTTTTTTTTCCCCTTCTTCTTCTAAACATTATTACAGAGATACACTGACCGAGCAAAATAATTCCTTTTTCCTTGAGGAAAGAACTTTGAAAAGGTCACCCTTGATATGACTCCAATAGCAAGGCAGCCTTTGCAATGAATTTTAAAAATAAACAAATTACTCCAGCGATGAACGAGAGGGGGAGGGAAAAGGGTCTACTTTTTTTCTCATCTCCTTTTATTCCTTTTTCATTCATTCATTCCCCTGCCCAATTCCTGCGGTTGACACCGGCATCCCACCGCCTGAACCCTCGGCTCCCGCCCGAGCGCCAACGTTAGGGAGGGGTGGAAGGAGGGCAAAGCCCACCCGGGCTGGGGCGAGGGGCGAGCTCGTGACCGAGGCGGGAGGACGAGGGGGAGGCACCGCCCGCCAGCCCGCCCGCTCGCTGCCAGCAGCACCTAGTGGACAGAGCGCGTAGGTACTGGGCGCGCGCCGAAGAGGGGGAGGCGGGGAGGTGACTGGAGGGCGGGCGCGCGCCGAAGGGGGGGAGAGGCGGCGGGCGGACGGGCGCGCGCGCGCACGGTGAGGGCCGGGAGAGCGCGTGTGCGGCTGTGTGTATGTGTATGCGTGAGAGACACACCGGAGGAGGGAGACACACACACACATACACCGAGGCGCACACACGGGGCAAAAAGGGGTGGGGAGGGAGGGGGAAAAGGAAAAGGAAGGGGGAGAAAGAAAAAAGGCTGGCACTCGATGCACCCGGGCGGGTGAAAGAAGAAAGCCGGCGGCGGCGAAGGCGGCGGCACCAGCTCCAGCGAGAGCGGCGCGCGGACGTCGGACCCGCAGCCCAGCCCCGAGCTCGGAACGTTAGGAGCCGGAGTCCGTCGGGCCGCCCCCTTCCCCGCCGGTTCTCGCTCTTTTATTCGATTGTTATTTTTTGTCCTTCTCCCCTCCCCTCGCGGACGGCGGGACGCGAGCTTTCCCCGCGGGACGGACCTACTCCCCCCCACCCCCGGCGGCGGATCGGCCCCGCGGGAGGCGCTAGTTAAGGGGGGTGGCCCCGAGACTCCGGTAGGGGCCGGGGGCGACGGGAAAGGCAGGCCCGGCCCGGCCCCCCGGGGAGGAGGCGACAGTCCGCAGCCCTCAGTGGCGGCGGCGGCGGCGTTGCTGTTGGCCGGAGCGGCTCGGGTCTACGGAGAGCCAGGAGAGGGAGGATGTCGTCGGCCGGCAGCCGGGAGGAGGAGCGGCGGAAACTGGCCGATATCATCAACCACTGGAACGCGAACCGGCTGGACCTGTTCGAGATCAGCCAGCCCACCGAGGTGAGTGACCCCGGGCTCCCCGAAGGCCGCGCCGCCGCCGGAGCCCGGCCCCCGGCCCCCTGCGCCCGCACGGCTCCGCTCTCGCCGCCTCCTTCCCCCGCTCGCTCGCTCGTTCACGCCTCTCGCCCCCGCCGCCTCCCTGCGCCGGGAAGCCCTGGCCGCCCTGCCCGGCCGTGGGGGGCGGGGACTCCGACGCCCCCTCCCCTCCCCCACCGGGAAACCGACTCTCCACACACCTCCCTGGGAACGGACCCAGGTCCCCCCCTCCCCCAGCCAACCACCAGAGTTTCACCTTTTCGTTACCCCTCCCTCTGCTCGAAACCTTCCCCCCGCCCCCCCGCCAATTCTGGACCTCAATAACCTGGCATTGTTTTCCCCTTCTCTCCGGAGAATGTGACCCGGGTGTCACCTTTTACCTGCCCCCACCTCTGAAAGTGACCCACGTTTCTTCTCCTCTTATTCCTTTGTCGAAAAGACTAAAGATCTATAGAATTCACCTGCTTCCCCCTCCCCCCTCCTCTAATCCCTAGATATTTCCCCTTTTCTGCCCCACCCTTGAAAAAGCCACGGTCTCTTCTCCCTCTCCTCCCCCCCCATTCGGTTTTCTTCTCTGAACCTGGTATGTGGGATGGTCCTTCTTTACTCCATCTCTGGCTAGCTGCTAGCTACGATCTGTTTTTATCTGTGCCTGCACCTCTAGAAAATGTTTTCTTCAGTTTTCCTAATTTTCTTCCCTCCCCTCCCCTCTTTGTGCCTGTATCCTTTTTGGCACCGGAAAGGACACCTTGTTTTATCGCATTTTTGAGAAACACGTACGCCTCCCCACCACATCTCTTTCTCTTTACCCTCCCCCCCCCATCTCCGAGTGTTAACACTGGAGGAGCTTACAAGTTAACGGGAATCATGTCTGTAGATTAGAAAGGTGGGTCCCCAGGTCTGGGGTTCAAGGATTGGAATTTCTGACTAATCAAGGGTTGTGGACGGCTGAGTTTAGGAAGTGAAAGATAAACCAGATCCCTTTTCTTCATCTCATGAAAACACAAGAAATTGCCAACCTGCCAAACGAGTATTTCAATCAGAAATACTATTCCGGTTGAGGCAACAAAACATGTCGTACGGAATGTGTTAAACTTTACAATTAAGGTAAAATTTAAGAAGTAAAAAACTAACCCAGGGAAAGGATTCTTAACCTTCCGTCCCATCAAGTGGAAAGTTTTTTTTGGACTCGAGGAGAATTGGTTACACCTCTCAGCTACAGCCTGTTAGCTGTTTTGGTGTGCTTAACTTTCTGAAATTCCTTATCCTTGTCAATTTAAAAGGGCGTGATGGTGCAGGGTGTTTTGCCGCAATAGGTTTGAAAACTTCGAGATTGCCAACGGTTAGTAAAGTAAATACCACGATTTTTAGTTATGAGAGTTTAGAGATAGTAGTAAAAAGAGAGTCTGTTAACTTTTTTTTTTAATGGAAAAGGTGTGGTTTTCTTTGTTCTCAATTGAATGCTTTTTGGTTGCCAGAGAAATGCGTAACACTGACTCCGCCTCCCACCTCCTCCTATCTTTTGGCAGGTCAAAGTGTATAGTTTGATAGAAAGTATAGGGGGAGGGTTTGGTAGGTAGAAGTTATGTTCTTGTTGTCCATGACTGCATAGTTCTTGCTCATAGGGTGGAGACCGATCATGTGCATGTTCCCAGAGAAAAGAAGGAAATTAACACTTGTTTTTGGCCTAGCCCTGAATGTAGTTGTTTATTAATAAAGACCACTCAAAGAGAGGCACGTACAGCTCTTTTAGTCACAAATCATATTAACATTGAGGTTAAATTTTGGATATGATTAGAAAAAGGTAACAGAACCAGCAAAACAGGTTACATTTGTGAATTAGACTTAATGACACACTTTTTCAGGTGAATTCAGAATAATTAATTTGAAAATTTACTTAAAGCCTTAAAAGTTTGAGTCCTCAGACTAATTTTGTTATGTAACTGAGTCCACCCATTGCATATGTAGTACATTTAGTCTGTTAGGAGATTTTAACAGGTTGTCTGTTCTTGAGTTTAGAATTGGAGGATCTTACACATGGTTATTATTTGAATCTGTTTTCTTGGGTTTGAAAAGTACATATTGGGAACTTGATTGTGACAGTTTTTACTCTTTGCACTAATCTTTTAAAATGTATTTCATTTTATGATATTTATTTTTAGCTTTTACAGTGTTTTGGATATGATTCTTTTACTTAAGCTTAGCCTTCCATTACAAAATGTTTACCTGAGAATATGTTGTTTTATTTATGCATAACCTAAGAAAACTTTGCAGTTTTCTTTTCCTATTGACACCACAGTGAATTTCTCTGGACGTGTCAGCACTGGAGTCCCAAAGTCTTAGCCATCACTGGATGACTGCAGCATAGAAATTAGCAATTAGCATTTTCCAGACCCATCTTTTTATTGCGTCCTTGAACTGAGTGCTTTAAGAGAATAGTACATTTCAAGCTGTCAATGGAAAGGCTGCTTTTAATTCATGTTACATTATCTTATGTGCACAACAGAATGATTTTTAATTGTACAGGTTAGGTTTCTAAATAAAACTAGGGCTTTATTATAAACGAACATTGATTATGAGTGTCTTAAAAGAAGAGAAAAATCATTTTCTGTATTAAATCAAGATTTTTAATTAAGAAATGAAGTAACCTTTTGAAGGTCACACAGGTAGAACAGAGTTTTGAACTCAAGCCCTCTGACTCCAAATTTGATAATTTATTAACTCTGTACAAGATTTTCCATTAGTAAAATTAATATAACTCATGTTTCATTTCTGGTTGAGAAAATGAGTTTTTCTAATTTCAAAACTACTATGTAGATTAAGTGATTTTTAATCTATATTGAGAATTTAGTTTATAGGAATTAAGTGTAAATTTTTCCTTTAGCAGTTTTATAACATCAAAAATGAGAATGAAATTTTGAAAGGTTAATGTATTTGAACTCAATTTTTGTTTTGAAAACAAAATTCATTCAGCAAACTTAAATGCAAGCCAACAAGCATTCATTAGGATTTGTGGTACTTTAAAAAATAAAAGTGCTGTGTTTTTCTGGTGTTCTGTCTTTTGCTTAGGGGGATAAACCTTAGGGGAAATTGTTATTTAGGTAATTGGAGCAAGGCATACAATTTTAGGACTAGTCTATTTACTACAGAAAAATGGGGCTTTTTTTCTAGACTAATACTGCTTATCTGCTTTGCCTCCCATTTTCCCTTGCATCTTGAAATTTTGCCTTTATTTTATAGAATCTAAATGACATAATTCAGGAGTGGAATTAGAAATTTATATAATCATTTGACAAACTTAAATTTTTCTTAGTTCAGTTTTGTCATTACAGTGTTAGTAAATATTTTTGCCCCAACATCTTTAACCTATTAGTAGGTTTAAGGAAGGCCTTAGATTACACTTAAATTTGTTGAGTACTTAAGTGCCAAATATTTTGTGAGAGGTTGACCAGTCTTAAAATATATTACTGGACTTCTTATATGGGTAGGTTTTAATAGTTGACGTGGGCACAGTGGTGGATCATAGTACTCATTTTCTAAAACATTTTATTTAAGGCCAGAAGTTCAGTTCCAGTTCATCTGAAGTAGTTGAAAATTACCTTTCAATAGTTTGTTTAGTGCTGTGTTAGTGATCTCAGTTCATTCTCTAGTGGTTGTTGTTGTTTAGTTGTTTTTCATTTGTGTCCCACTCTTCATGACCCCATTTGGGGTTTTCTTGGCAAAGATACTGGAATGGTTTACCATTTCCTTCTCCACCTCATTTTACAGATGAGGAAACTGAGTCAAACAGGTTTAAGTGACTCGTCCAGGGTCACACAGTATGTGTCTAGTAGACAAATAGGTCTGTCAAAAATGGAACTACCATCAGGGTATCTCAGGATTTAATGAGAAGGCTGTATTACGAAGGAAGCATTGGTTATTCCTGTGTAGCCCAGGGCCATTCTTCCTTTAGCTTGCTACTTCTTTAAGCATAATGGCTAGCGTATTTGCTGGCAAAAATCCTATAATAGTATTGGTTATATAGTTAGGTTTTCAGTGAATTAGGAAAATGGGTGGGTTAGGGATGCTGGGGATGTTTCTTACAGATTCTGTAATCTTTGGGAAAATGATGTACGTAGCTTTTAGCATTGCATTCACTTTTTAGTCTGAAGGAGTTCCATTTCTCTTCTCTTTTGTGTTTGTAGGAATAAGTAAGTTGGCTTATAATTTTATTATTAGTTTTACTTTTTACTTGACTTTGGATCCTATATAATTTTGGATTTTAAATGGATGGTCTTCCTAATTTATTAGGAATTAATTAGTTAGGAATTCCTAATTGTATTAATTAATGATGATAATAGTTAAAATGAATTAATGTCTTGACTGTTGTATAAAGCTAGAGCTCAGCAAAAACCATTGATTTTCTAAATGTTTTTCTTGTTGACCTTTTATTATGTGTGATTGGTTATGTAGATTTAAGACTTACTTCTCTTTTGAATTCTTACCACACTGGTTAATTTATTGTGGAAGGTTCATGATAGGCATTCCTGACAATGAATGTGGAGCTTTAGAAAAGTTTATTATATATATGTGTTATGGAATATTCCCTGGGGGGAAACCACAATGTATTCTTTTACAATTTTAATTAAAATTTAAAAAATCAATGCCTAGGCAAGTGTTAAGATTTTTGGTTTAGTGTTGGTGTTTACTAGATTTACAAAAATAATTACACTTTAGAAACTCATTCTAATCAAATACTACTCTTGGTGGTTGACTACTAGAGATCTTTTAAAGCTTAAATGTAATTTTATAATAATTAAGTAAACTTGTCCCATTTTACACATTAAATTTGGAAAACTAACCCAATCAAAATAAGTACCTGGTTCAATACTGATATATTTTTACAGCTGAATATTTTGTATTGCAATGCTGATTATGCATTAAAGGAAGTAATGTGGTGAGTCACATAACCCATAGAGGTGTGT